ACAATTGAAAGTCGATATTCAAATGTTTCAAATTAAAAAAAAAAAAAAAGTCACAGAAACCATTTGAAAAAAGTTTCATTCGAAAACCTCAAACCATGAAGATTCTATGAAAATTCAAAGAACCTATTGCAATAAAACGGCAATTTCATACTTTAACCCCTAATACTAAACTACAATGTCGGGTGGATAGGTTCGCTTAAATCCCCCGACTGTGCTGCCACCTTGTCGTGGTGGGGTGGGCTTGCGTGCCCTTATGATCCCCAAGGTTATGCCGGATAGCGCTTCGCATAACGGATAGGCTTGAGGGGGAGGGGCCAGACTAAGAGCGGCACACTCTGAGGAATGTTCACTCCCGGTACCACTCTGATCAGCAGAGCAGACTGGGGTGTGGACGTATGCTCTCAGGGTACGGCGCAGCAGAGGGGCTTTTTAGAGCATTTGTGCGACGAGTTCCGGCGGCTGTGATGTCACGGCTGTCGGGACAGACTGCGGCGATCGTCGGGCGACCTGTTATCCCGACAGAGTCAATCGACTGACTGGGACCAGGGGCCTTAGCTGGCCGGCCCGAGTGGAATCAACCACAATAAAAAACGCCCAATGTTGACGTCGTTGAGGTGCCCCTTCACGAGGCCTCGCGCGATGACGTCACGCCTGCTTCGGTGGGTTGGTAGGCGGGGTTTATCGCCTACCCATTAGCGGTCATCCCTGGGATACCTCCCGTCCTCTCAGGACGTATTAGGGTTACCCAGGTGCAGGGGGCACTGCCTGGGTGGCGGTATATATCCCTCATACTCGTGGGAACTATATGTCATTGAATAATAAATCGTTTCTTACCCCGAATGTCCAAGTGAGGTCCGCGAAGGACGGAGATACGAACTCTGCAACCACAACGGACACTGATTTTGCCTTGCCATTGGCAGCTGCTGAGGAAAATACAGCATGCTGCACCAAAGTACCGGAAACCAGAGCTGAAAAGCGCGCGTGTCGCGCGAAACGCCATCGCGAGGGGACAGAGGAGGTACTGGAGCCAGATAGGGCTCCAAAAGTAAACACAGAGCGGAGAGGCCGCAGAATGTCCCACCAACAGCGCGCACCGGATATGCCCAGGCCAAGTCTCGTCTCCGGGAAGCGGAGCTCCGCACCCTCGAGGCAGAGGCGCTGCCGTGACGTCTCACCATCTCACATTCCCAGTGACTCGGTTACCTACTGCACGTAGCGAGCAGAGGGTGCGCGAGAAGAGCTCCAGGACCCTATCACAGGAGCAGCCTCACGAGGACGAACTCATTAGGCTTACCCGGGCGGGTGTAGATAAAATCCTGAGAGAGGCCGTCAAAAGCAAAAACCTGAAGGGGACCATCTGTAGCGAGATCAAAAAGCTGACTATGGACTCGTTCCAGGCAATCTCTGCGGACGAGGAAACCCGCCGCCTCATGGCAGATAACAAGCGGATGAAGAGGGAGCTAGCTACACTGAGAGCCGAGGTGACGGCTCTCCGAACGGCCTTTTCGGAGAGGGTAAAGCCTCCAGGAACTGGATCTCCTGCCGACCCTCTGCATGTTCCACAGGGTCTGCAAGAAATAGTGGAGGACCTTCAGAGGAACCTCCTAGTCTCCCTGGGTGAAATGATAAACGTACGCCTAGGTGAGATAGAGAAGCGCCTCCCACCGGAGCCAATCCTGAGGCGGCAAAAAGACTCGCCCAGCGGCCACTGCGGCCGCCGCCGCTGCCACCATCCCCAGGGTGCCTCCCACCGCAACGGCCCTCGAGCCTACCCCGGGTCCCTCCCCAGCGTGAAACGCGCCTGCCGGCCTTCGGCCCAAGTAGGCCAAGGCCCCCCGCGGAAGGCTGCTAGCGCCCCTCCTGGGGCGGACCCCGCCGCCCCCGCCGCTCCTGGCGAGACGACCGACCAGGCGGAAACGCCCTGGTTGCAAGTGGTTGGCCGCAAGGCCAAAAAGGCAGCTGCCGCCCCCCAACGGCACGCGCCTTTGGGGCCGCCTTGGTGGGGATCAAAGCGGGACCCGTAAAAAAAAGGTTCGCTTATATTCAATGTTTTAAACATTAAGTGAAGTTAAGTTTTACACGGTGATTAATAACAAGGAGTGATTATGGAACGAACCAACACGATAGAATAGTGGAAGGAAAAAGAAATCTGGAACGATTCAAATTTTAAAATTAAGTGGCCCAGGTACCTGTAAAGAGGGTGATAAAAGGGTGCAGTGACGATGAAGAAGGTCAGCATCGTCACAAGCGAAAGTAAATAAATTCATTTTAAGACTGAGATGATATTTACAGGAGAACAGATATTTCATATAAATGAACATTAAAATAAAAAAAAACCTTTAATCAGTCCATCAACAACTGCCTCCGTGGCCGAACGGTTACCACGCCGGACTGCCACGCAGAGGTCCCAGGTTCGACACCCGGGCCGGGAGAAATATTTGTATGACCTACATTTATTTCTCTCGTGAGTTTGGGTGTAATTTGTGGTTGTCTATGTGTGTGTCCATGGCACTCGCGACACAGGGTTTCCCTAGTGCGGGGCTATGTTGAGTGTGTGCGTTATTATTATCCATGGGAGTCACGATCCCATAGAGAGACACACAAATACATAGTCAAAGACTTTAAACTTGGACTCGTCTGTTTTTGCGTCAGGGCATAGTAATAACGAAAATATATAACGTTGGAGAAAAGATAAAACTTCTTTATAACAACCGCAAGTAGGAATAGCTTTATTAAAACTATTCAAAGTTGTGTGTAGATTCTAACTCTCACTGGAATAGTGCATCGACTACACTTTAAACTTCTTAGAAGAAACTCACGTCACAGATTACTTAACAGTTACCACATAACAGAATCATACAAAATCGAAAATACCTAAGCTCTAATAGCCTACTAAATCCAACTAATGAAACCAGGCGCTACTAGGAAAAAGGAACCTATGCACGGGCTTAGAGAGGTGAAAATAATGTTACCCACCGTGTGCAGGCGTGCGGAACCGAATGTTGGGTTTTTACAAGGATTGTAATGTAAAAGAAAAATTTTGTCTGAGTGCTTGTACTGTCGGCGATACACACAGCGATAGGTACTTATCGCATAACCTCGAGTGAGTGACGGAACCCTACTCACGTCCAGAAGTAGGACGAATATGGATTGATACAGTACAGTTAAGCATGTATGAAAAGACCAATTAGGATCGTAGGAAATGGAAATATTTGAGTCACTGGTATACGTGAGGGAATATATTATTTTTCTTATAGCATTTATGTGGTAGTTCAAGCTTTATATCTTCTACCAGCTCTGTATTTGACCGCGCAGTTGCATTATCAGTGGCATTTCGTCGGGGATAGTGTAATTACGTGTAATTAGCATACGTTATGAAGGTGGCATTTTGGGAAGTTAGTGGCCAAACCAAATCCGCGTAAACGTCGCGGAACCAAATTAGCCTGATTTACTGGAGTCTATTGTTATCTGTCCGCAAATAACTTAAATTAATGCTTACTGTGCAAAAATGAAAGTCGTAGCCATTGAAATATCAAAGTAATAACATTTAGACCCCCACCTGTAAAATGTGCCTGTAGTTTTACCAGCACGCTTACCGTTCAAAACCAGAACACAGCAATGCTAGCATTTTTGCAAGGCGGTGGGTGTGGTGGCAGTACTTTCCTGGATTGAACTCTATCACAAGGAGCTCTATTACTACTACAAGAGTTAGAGATGTCTTTGTGACTATTGTTGCAAGTATTTATTGCAGTATTATTGCACCAACCAAAAAATTCTTCAAATCTTTTAAGCCCGCACCGGTGCCAGAATTGCAACGGCAATTGTTTTATATCTCGTTACTCATAAACCGTTACATACAATTCTTGTTTTCATGGTTTAATAATAATTCATATTCTGGCGTAATAAGGAAAATAAAGCACCCCTCAGTCAGTTCAATTCATTCAACAGTTACAATTATCCCTCAAGGTCGGTCTATGTATACTGAAGAGAGTATTGTTTCTATCTGATTATCAGAAAAAACACCCGGTCATTGCTATTCTTATGATTAGTTATAATCTCAGTACAGTGTACTAAAAAACCGACCTCAAAAGTACGTGGAACTATACAGGACTTGACACAGGAGATAATAAAAATCGGTTCCCACTACTCAAAGTATAAATATAGAAAAACGCCTTGAATTGGAGAATAGCAAAACCAACCATTAAAATAATTGCTCCTTAAGTAAAATTTAGGCGCTATTAATAAAAATGAATGTTCATGCGTGATTAGCCACCCTTAGAGGTGGATGATTTTCTTCAATAAAATGGGACCACTATGGAGGTACCCTCTTTTCAACTAAAAAAGAATCATGAAAATCGGTTCACAAATACCGGAGTTATCGCGTAAGACACATACGAATAAAAAAACGTACAGTCGAATTCAGAACCTCCTTCTTTTTTTGAAGTCGGTTAATGAGTAGTTACTTGATGAAATTCTTGCCTTACGGGAGGTAAAGTTAAAAGTAAGTAGACATGTGGGCCAGTCGTAAAATTGTCAGTGACGGTATATGACGGTTTCTGGAAATCTGAGTGACAAATGTTTTTCACAGTTATTAAAACGACATCTAGGAAGTCAGAGGATTTTTTTAATATTAAGTGACAGTGCGAATAACTCGTGCGCCTGATGGTAAGCTACACGCCTGTCCATAACAGTTGTAGTTGACAAGTCCCAAGTGCCCGTAATTTCACCAGCGACCGGACCATAGTAATGCTGACATTAGTGTGTTTGCATGACTGCTTGGCGGGTAAAGTTAAGGCAGCATTAACCTAAACGAGCTCTTTCACACGGAGTTCTAGTGTTACTAAAACTTTCATAGATTTGCCAAAGATGGCGCTACGGCAAAAAAATTGTTAAAACCAAAAACAAAGATCTGTAACAAGCACAGAGAAATTCGTAAGATCGTCTGTCTCGCAGCTACAGTGCTATGTTGGAAAAGCGTAAGCCACGGTATGGCGAGGTAGTTGTTTCGAATGCAGCCGGATCGAAAGAATTTTTCTTTGTATTCGTATTTCTTAAAAATAATTATAACAAACTAATAGAGCAATTTCGCAATAAATGATTGAATGTTTTTTTTTGTGATAGTAGTAAGACACCATCATATTCAATTACCTTAATATTAAATAATCTTTGTAAAAACTAAATCACAGAAACAGAAACGCTCTTAATTTAATTCTAGTACGAATATAATGCACGTAGACAGGAACAAGAAGGAAGCCGACAGGAGAAGTCGTTTGGGCTGGGCAGCATTTGGGAAGCTCAGCCACATCTTCAGGTCATCAATCCCACAAAGCATAAATACAAAGGCATTTAACCAGTGCGTTCTACCAGTTAAGTCCTATGCAGCCGAGACGTGGACATTGACAGCAGGCCTAATCCTCAAATTCAAAGTCGCTCAGCGTGCGATGGAGAGAGATATTATGAGGTCATATGTCAGAGAACTAAAGTGACCGATATAGCTCGCAAAGTCAGTGAGCTTAAGTGGCAGTACAGGAGGGTTGGTCGCCAATGGAGCAGACTTGTTTTGGAATGGCGACCACGTCAAGGAAAACGTAGTGTAGCGGCAAGATGGACGGACGACGTGAGAAAGGTGGCCGGCAGCGGCTGGATGCGGGCGGCACGAGACCGGGAGAGTTGGCGTGCTCAAGGGGAGGCTTATGTCCAGCAGTGGATGCGTCTAAGCTGATGATGAGATAAGAACGTAATATGTAAAGAAATGTAGTAAGTAATATTGACCGGAAACGTGGAACCGTGTGTGGCGGCGGTGCATATGTCTAGTTGTAATCAGTGCCCTTAAGAGTCTATACAATCTCAAACTAATTAGACCACGTTATACTATACGATGTACATTTTTCAAACAGCTTTACTTGCGTTTGTAAAAAAATAAATTCTAAAATAAAGCCAGTGCCACTACCGCTCGATCCAAGCAAAATTTACCATATTGGAACGGGAAATATTTGAATCCGTGCTGAGGTAGTATCAACTCTTAAGGTTCTTTTTGTTGCTCCGATAGTCTGGGCAATTTCTTCGTTTACTGTAAACTCCTTCTTTTAATTTGATATATGGTACTTTATTATGAGGTGACCGTGTTGAAGTCGCTGGCTACTGCATAATATATTTCCATTGAAAAGTATTGTGAGCGCTAGGAGCACTCTAAAATTTACCAAGCAAACATTTTACGTCTCGTGGTAGGGGTAACTGATTAAGTATCCCACCATTTATCCTATCTCCGTAAAAGCAAATGTAATTGTAAACATTATGGTCCAGAATGTATTGCCTAAAAATAAAAGCACAAACCGGAATAAAACGTGTATTAAGGGGCGTGTTACAAAACCCTCAGGTTTCTCTACAAGAGTTCCGAAACAAATTCGGCCGGATAAAAAGGGCTTAAGATGAATATATTATGGTTTAGATCTGTAACCGGTTAGCTGTTATAGGGGAGGGTACTGGAAGGGAAATGGTATGGTCCAAGTAAGCGAGTAGCTCTAGCAGAAACTACGAAAGGATAATACATCAATAACATAGTATAATAAGAAAAGTAGTGTAACTCTGTACAAAAGTAGCACCGCAGCTAGTATGTGTGCATGTCCACCATGCGCTGTGTACGGAACTACGGACGCACACATTTGCATAATCTCACGGTGCACTCGAGTTGCACAACGAGGGTTGTATAGAATTGAAGCGTTTGCTCTATGATTAAAATATTTATAATATTTTTCTCTTTGAAATTGTTATATTTTTTAATTTAAAAATGTATCGTTGTGTATATATAAACACGCATCTCATTTCTATTACTTTTTTTATAATACCAAGACGGGATGAACAAGTCGTGAGCCTGGTGGTACGCTACACGTCTATCCATAACAGTTGCAGTGCCACTGCGCCCGTCACTCTGAGACATAAGTTGGCAAGTTCCATGTGCCTGTAATTTCACCAACATCTTTACCCTTTCAAACCGGAACGCAGTAGTGTTCACATTACTAATTGA